GAGCACTCGCAGCTGGGTCTGGCACTGGTTGTACTCACCAAGATCCCCTTTCTCCAAGGCGATGCGCGCGTGGATTTCGTAGACAACGACAGTGAATTCATTTCGGATGCGCTGGACCGTTAGGTCTTGACGCAAGGACTTGAACTGGTCACAGATGTAACCGTAGTTGCCATCGTGCTTCCATTTTCTCTTCAATAGATCTAGGGCCTTTTGTAAAACCGGCAGAGGACGAACACTGTCCGGGTTCGGAGCAGAGGTCAATCGGAAATAGTTCTTCTCCAATGTTTGGCATCGCCCGACAACAGGGCCTTGATCCGCGTCGGCAGCACGCATCGGCGATCCTGCAGAAGAGGGAGAGGTCCCACTACCCCCAACTCCCTCAAAACGCTTCCTCCTCATCTCCAAATTAGCTTTGGACTTACTAGACTGGTCCAGTGTTATGCGTGGTTTCTTCTCTGTGGTAGGGTGAGTAACTCGATCTTCAAAACGATTGCGGTTAGTTTTTCTCCATGGTGGCGATCCAGTTTCCGAATGATGGCCATCAGTTGACTTTCGCTTCCGTGTGGCATCCCCCGGAGAAGCTGGGTGACTGGACGCCCAGTTTGAAGAGCTGGGGTTGGCCAGGATTTTGTTGCGTTCATTTTGCACCATAGTTTGGGGCAAAGGTAGCCTTTCCCAGTCGATCAATCCCAACTTGTCATTCTGGGCCGCCTCTGTAATAACGTGCCTCAACTTCTCCTGCATTTCAGGAATGCTCACGCTTGCAACCTGGTTTTCGGGAGCAAAGCAGCGTTGCACATACGATCGTACGGGTGGTGGGAACTCCACTCGTGTCCGGGCTTCCGTATCGGGTGATGGGCACTGCGTGGGTTGGGGAGGAACGGCTCCATTCGTTGTCTTGGTATGATGGGCGAGGCTACGACGCGCTTGGACTGGAATGTATGCTGGAGCCGCTGTCGGGTTATTAGCCTCCTGAGACGAGACCAACGAGACTCGAGTCGAAATATTTTTCTTACCAGCTGGAGCAAATCCACTAGACATTGTGCCTGGGGCAGTAGAGCGCCAAGGTGGTATGCTGGAACTCATCGTAGATGCAAGATTTGGAAAAAACAAAGAAACAGGATGAAAGGAAGAAAGGAAGAAAAGAGCTACGAAGGGGCAAGACTCGAGGAACGTCTGGAAGAATCAAGTTTTGAGTTTACTCCTCGGCTGGTACGGATTTTGAGATGAAAGAAAAAGAGGATGAACGTTTATTTTCCAGGTGAGATGGTCACGAGCCGGGGGAGAGTGAGAGTAAAGTGCACAAAGACTCGACCCGTGACGGTGAGCGATACTCGCTTACTCACCGGACCTTTGTTTATCCGACCATCCCGCGTTATCGCGTTATCGCAATCGCCTTGCCTTGGATGACATAGGTGTAATCTCTTTTATGGATCTCCTTGATGCTGGGAGCTGGTTGAACCTACTAGATGTTCTTCAAGTCGCTGGATCTGACTACTGCGCTCAGACCCTTGCTATTACCCGATGAGATCCTCCTCTTTGTCCAGGACGCGGTGGGATTGTATGAAGGGTAAGTAGCTCATGATGATGCTCCTGACGCGGGGTGCTGATTAGCGGCAAAGGAAATACAAAATCCAGAATTACCAAAATGGCCATGCCTATCTCACATCCCACAGAGTGTGCTACGTTGCGACTGAGGATCCGCGGAAGTACTCAGTGGCCATTGATCTGAAAGAAATCGATCGAGTAGAGTCTCAGGTGCGACATGCATACATCTTCCTTTCGAACCTTTACTCTTAACCGATCACTAACAGACCCACGGATTCAAGGCTGGCTTCCTGAAATCATCTCCGAAACTCACCATATACCCGAAACCCCAGAAGAAGAAGGCCGATAAGTCGAGGAGCGCAACAGCCAGCCCGGCTCTGGCCCAGCAATCGGCCCTTCATCCGACACAGTCACTTTCTCACCTCCCACAAACCAACCTCCCACAGAGCTCACCATCTCCAAAGCCAATTAATGCCACTTGGATCTGTCCCATATGCTCCTTCTCCAATCCAGTTCCGTCCAATTTCGACCCCTCAACGGCTAGTGCGGCTACAAATTTACCTCCTTGTCTAGCATGTGGCATCAAACCACCATTTACGACCGTCCTCAAAGCAGCGATTAGTGCTGCGACAAGCCGGGAGTCTCAATTGCCGAGTTCAGTTGGACCACCGGCCATTGCGCAAGACACAAGCCAACCAAATGCCAATACGCCTCTATCACCTTTTAGGCCCGGGGGAACTGTCTCTTGCCCACGATGTACCTTTGTGAACCATCCATCTCTCGTGGAATGCGAGATTTGTGGAGCGCCTATATCTGCTGGCTCCTCAGCGAATGCCAATCGTGTAGACTCTCCTGCGCCTTTATTTGAGCAATCGCATATCGCAAACACGGAAGTTAGTGAGAGCATTAAACTTTCATTTCGTGCAGGTGGCGATAAGACATTCCATGAAAGACTTAAGGGGGCCTTGGTTCAAAGAAAATGGCTTCTACAAAATGCGCCTCCAGTGCCTTCGCCGTCGCAAGGTGCCTCCTCGCCGGGTTTGCCTCCCCCCGCCGCTAGCATTGAAACTCCTCTACCCTCAGCACCACGACCTCCCGGGGTTGGTATTGCGGGATTAGAACGCCGAGGGCTGGAAGCCCGGAGGAAAAATGAACTCGTCATAGGGAATGCCTTTGAAGACCTGGAGGCTTTAATGGCCTCTGCCAAGCAGATAGTTGCGCTGGCCGAGACTCTGGCGCGTGAGTCTGGCATGACTACTAATGAAGGCTCTCCAGAAACAAGTGCGGTTCTATCTGAGTCCGCCGCGGCCCTCGGGATGGTGACAACCAAAGACATGCTCAGTTCCGGATCTGAAAGTCTATATCTATCAGAACTTGCGCGCAACCTGGCCGAGTATCTCACTGATGACCGCAAAGGCATTTTGCAGCGGGAAGGTGGAATTATGAGTCTAATTGATCTCTGGGCTGTCTTCAATCGGTCCCGTAACGGAGTAGAATTGGCCAGTCCTTCGGATTTCCAGAAAGCAGCGGAGCTGTGGGAAAAGCTCAAATTGCCAGTTCGTCTACGACGATTCAAAAGTGGCCTTCTTGTGGTGCAGCGATATGACTGGAGTGACGAGAAGACCATTGAAAAACTTCAGGCCTGGATGGAGGAGCTCCGGCGAATTCCCCCCGACGATCCGGTTCCCTGGGATTGGACCCTATTTGGCCGGGCTGTTACTGCTCAAGAAGCTGCGCATCGATTCAAATGGAGTGTTGGGGTGGCTGCCGAAGAGCTCGAGATGGCTGAAGATCGGGGGGTTCTCTGTAGAGAAGAAGGTATTGAGGGTCTGCGTTTTTGGCACAATTATATCTCGTCTCGTGAGTATGATGACTTCTCCCGCCTTGTTATTTGAGGTGGGTGATGTCATATGAATGTATATACAAAGTTGCATACACCCCCCATTGATACGTGGGTGTGATCCTGCCCACGCCGAGCATAATAAAATGATGCATAGAACATACTTGAGGTCGGAGTATGAGACCGAGGGACCTTTTGCTACCCCCACTATGAACTAGTGATCCTAGCTAAACTCTATGGATCCATGTCGGCCTTCGATGCAGCAGGACTAAAGCATATTGCCACGATCCCGTGAATGAGGTCACTACATACTAGACCTACAATCATCAATGCAGCTACCTACTCATGGTGGTTTGATGACACAACCAAGTGGTGGATGGCGCATTGCATGTCATTTAAGGGAAACAGAAACATAGGAGAAGCAAATTCATCCAATAGACCAATAGATATCCAAGCCACAGATCCTAGATACGGTGGAGGTTATCTATTAACATATTCCGGTATGTCCTACAATTATCAATTGAGTATAACTATTGCCAACCTATGTATGTGTCGTGTTAAGCAGTCACGTATAGCCTTCCCAGGTTAGCATGATTTACACCCACTGGCCCCAAGGTTTGCGAAGTATGCACAACTTGCCGAATTTATAAACCATACACAACGTGAAATAATGGAGACATGGGACTGGCAATTCATTCTCATAATTTTCATTTATCCATATATAATTGCCTGATATGTACAACCGCCTATATACTTCTAGAAATGTGACCGAGAAGGTTATCTAACAAGATAAAGGCATCAAGCTCATGGAAAGCGAATATTATATGTCTCCAAGGGCCAAAACTTCATCAGCCGCCTGTTTCCCAATGAAATGATCAATGCCGTGTACTCTACAGATGAGACTAAGCCAAGGCCAATGGTCCTTGACCCAGAGTTGCCTATTGTAGGGAGGCTACAGCCTGGGAAATTTATCTTCGAGATGGACGACCGCGTTTAAGTGCACGTTCTTGCAACCGGCCAGAACAAGAAAGATGCAGTAATTGCATCCGGAACAGATCTACCAACAGACTTCGGCTATGAGATTGGTGGTGTGGTGACCCATGTTGGCGCTGCGACGATAGGATACGCTCTACGCGATTGGGTTATCGGTTTTAGCTTTGACAAATTCGCTACTATCCAACGTGTTTACCAGAGCCTTATGTAGAAACTCCAACCAGGCGAGACTCTGCCAGAGATGGCATCTCTCCCTATGGCATATGGAGCAGCTCTCTATGGCTCAAGGAAACTTGCGCATTTACAAGAAAGCGAGACAATTCCCATCTTGCCAGGTTCTGGTCTGGCCGGTGCTGCAGCGATTGGAATCTCCAGGGAATTTGGTGGCTATCAATACGTTATTGCTACCAGTGCGACTGAACCGAGTTTATCAAACCACACTTTGAGCTAGATTCTAGCCAGGTGATTTTGACTTCTGAGGTTTCCAAGCTGAGAGATGTGAACGGTCAATACAAAGTTGATGTCATCTTTGCCTCGGCATGGGTGGCACCCTCTATGGCACGAGAGGCCTGGCGACACATTGCTCCCTTTGCGCGCTTTGTCAACTGTGGCCGGAAAGATGTTCTCACCCGCAGTATTCTTGATGCAGTCCCTCTTCATCGGGGCCGAATATCTTTCGTGCGATCTCTTGGATCCCTACAACATCAAGCCGCATATCATGTCCCAGCTGCTGGCGGAGACCGTTAGTCTTTACCGACGAGGCCTTATTACCACAACCATTCCCCGGTCACCCAAGAACATTGCTGGGCTTGGTGATGCCCTAGCATCTTTTTCTGATAGCTTCGAGGCGGGTAAAAACGCTCATTTTGCACGAGAAGTCGGAGGCGACTTTGAATATCCTGCCCCCTCGCCCTCGCGTGACACTGCGTGATGATGCCACATACCTTCTTATTGGGTGCCTCGGAGGTTTTGGTCGTAGCCTTACATCATAGTCAATGAAGAAAGGAGCCCACAACTTTGCGTTCCTTTCTCGGTCTGGCTCTGACTCAGAGCAAGCCTCCCTACTTGTCGATAAATTGAAAGCTTCTGGTGCTACTGTTTATGTATTCCACGGAGATGCTGGTGTGAAGACGGACGGATATTGAAGAAGTCATAAAATCTGTACCTGGCGACCAACATATCCAGGATGTGATTAATGCCGCTATTGTACTGCGGGTAAGCCATGCCTTCACTGTGTCACCTAGGCTGATCATATAACTGATGTATCGGCTCACAGGATGGATTATTCCACAACATGTTATATGAGAGCTGGACAACATCCGTGCACCCGAAGGTTCCCGGCGCGAAGAACCTGCACGAAGTCCTTTCCCATCTTCTGGATTCTTCCTGACCACAAGCTCCGTCCCCGGGGTGTTGGGAATATTAGGGCAAAGCAACTACGCTGCCGGAAACAGTTACCTAGATGCTCTTGCACAGCACCGTCGCTATCACTGGCAGAACTCAATCTCAATAGTCCTTCCAATAGTCCTTGGAGTTGGGGTAGTCGCAGGGACCAACGAGCTCGAGGAATCACTTAGACACAAGGGAATGTATGGCGTTGACAAGGAAGCCCTCCGCATCTTTGAGATCGCAATGATCGAACAGGTTCGGGAAGGTATCTCAGACCACATTGTTATTGGACTGGGTCCAATGGAACTCGCCAAAGCGGCACGGGAAGCCGGTGACGACGTCGACAGTTTTTGGGCTTCAAATGTGCGATTTAATCACACTGTTTGAGCTATGAAGCCTGGGAGTGAGAATTCATCTATTGGCGGTGGGAGTCAGAGTATCCTGTCTTCATTGCAAGGTTTGGAATTCATCGAGGCAGTTCAGGTTGTGCGTGAACACTTTATTGCGAAGCCTTGCTCGTATGTCGATGCTCGGCATAGATGGGTTTAAAGAAAGAAACCAGTCCATTTCCAGCTATGGGGTTGATAGTATGATTGGTGCTGAGTTGCGGAATTGGATCTTCAAGGAGCTGGGTCTGGATATCTCTTTCCAACAGCTGTTGGGTCCGAGTTTGACGATCACCAAGTTTGCAGAGGATATTTGTGCCAAAGCATGGGAGTACAAGGGTGATATAGTGGGACAGCACTGTGGATCTGTACACAAAGGAAATTGTAAGAGAAAGGAAGCTAATCCTAGTGTCCCCAACAGCAGGTGACCAAGTGGTAATAGGTTGCACCTGTGTACTACGAGGGAGTGCCGAGGATCCTCCACTACTTGGACCGTTGCCAGATTACTCCAAGACAATCCAGTTTGATGTTTTCTTTCTGTTTTTTTGTTTTCGTTTTTCTTTTGTGGTATAGCCAAATCACATGTGCATGATATAAGCTCATGCTCGTTTGCCATTTCCCATTCCTCATTCCCCTTAACTTAAGACGTCTTCTCTATTGCTTAATGCTACTAATGGATCCCCTGGGATTTACTCCAGTCAACGCTAAATTTTATATTGGAGCCGAACCGAAAACCGCCACAGATGTAGCCTACTCTCGGCGACGTCGATCTGACTCAAACACAGTGAACCCATCAATTCCCCGCCCATCATTTCCGCCGGTGCGGAAGAACTCGGTCATGACCCCGATGGCGTAACACGTTGATGCGGTGGCTGTAGCTGCGATGAGCATTCTGCGACCTGTTTTACGAAACGAAGACTCGGATTTTGTGGTTGGTTTGGGCTCGGGACTAGGGGATTCGGTTGCTGAAGGAGGCTAAGTCGACCTGTTAGGAAGCCACCTGAATAGACAGTTCTACTGTCTACTCACCTCACTGGTGGATTGCCAGGGGGCTCTGGCGTATGTGGCAGCGGAGTCCATTGAGTCGTGGCGAAGATGTTGGGCGATTTCGGCGTGCATTGCTGGTCCTTCTTCTCTTGCGGTATTCGAGGGGAGGTGACGAGGGGTGCTTTGGGTCTTTCGGAAGACAAGGATGTTGCCTCCACCTGTTGCAATTTCGTAACCATCTTCTTGCATCTTCTCGAAATAGGGCAGGAATTTGGCAGGGTTATGCAGTCGAGACAGAATTTCACTTGGTCGACTATCACTATCTTCATCGACACCGAAGAATGAGTCTGCGTGTGCAACTGAGACATGCGACGTCGATGTATCAAAAGCCAGAACGTGGAATTTAGGGGAAGGGGCTTGGGAGGCTGTTGATTGCTCTCCTTTTTTAGTGGCTAGGTTCTGGCTTTTGAGAATGAAGTCACCAACGCGGTCTTCGGAAGCATCGAAACCTAGCGGATTGGCTTGCTCCTTTGGAATCGATCCTAAAGGAGCATAACGAGAGCGAGTTTTACTAGAATTCAAGGCGCTCAGGCCCTCATTCTCATTGGGACCCTCAGCACTCACCATATCAGAAATGAATTTTGCCTCCAATTCATTCCCCGGTGTACAATCGACAACATTGTTGGCTATCCTGGATGTATCAAGTCCAGTGGGTACTTCTGGCTGTAATTGATTTTCCTCAACTGAAGCTGCGTTGGAGATAAACTTGGCCTCTAGCTCGCTCCCAGAAGGACAATAAACAGAGGTTTGGGCATCCGATTGGGTAATGTCCTGGCTGGCTGGCTCTGGCTCTGATAAAATATGTGCTTCAATCTCACTACCTGGAGAGTACTCAAAGTTTCCTTGAGCTGTCATGGCAGCGGTGTCAGTCGTTCGATGAACAGGACCGTCAGGCTCAAATCTGAGACTATTGAGATCAGAAGAAAGCTTTGCATCCACCTCGTTGCCTGGTGGGCAATCAATTGAAATGCCATTTTGTTTGTTCGGAGGTTGTGTCTCCAATCCAGACGGAGAACTCTTGACAGAGCCACTAGGAGAATCGCAAATGAATTTGGCCTCCAGCTCACTTCCCGGGGAGCATTCCACGTTGGTGCCCGCAGTCAAACCAGTATCCAAATTCAGACTATTGGTGTTTCTGTTGACCTTGGATGTGTCCGGCTGTACAGAAGGAATAGATTCAGAAACAAACGATGTTTCAAATTCTCTTCCAGGAGGGCAATCGATGTTTACAGAGGGCTTTCGTTTGGTTTCCTGAGAAACTTGAAGCCTGCCCAGCGCATCCTGGGAGTTGAGGGTAGAGGTAAAGTGTGCATCTAGCTCACTACCTGGAGGACAATCAATGGTTGGCTGTGTGCTTGACGGGGCATCGGGGCTTAGTCCCGTGTTTCCGGGCTGGAACTGTCCATCCCCGGCCAAACTGGGGCTGTGAGCGAGTTTTGCGTCGACTTCAGTGCCTGGGGGGCAGTCAACTACTTTATGAGAGTTGATTTCTGCTTCCGGCTTGCTGGATTCAAGTACAGTGGGCGGTGGTATAGGCACCATGCGTCCACTAATAGGGTCGTACTGCAATCCAGCATGATTGGCGTCACTTCTCGTTTGCCGCTTGTCTACGCCCGGTCTAACATTGCGTGGCTTTTCTAAACTGGTAAGTGACTGAAGAAAACCATTTAATGAAGTGTCGTTCTTGCCGAAATTCTGAAACGGGTCCAATCGGCGCCCAAAGACGGCCCTGTATGGGTCTGCCTCTATGTACTTTTTCAGCAAATCCATGCGTTTGTGTATCTGCATTAAATCCGAATTCCAGAGCCTTCTTTCTCGATCAGCCGGGAGGTCGGAGGGACTTGATTGAGAAAGCCAAGCTGTCCAGCTCCAGCTTGAGTGTGTATCGTTGGGGGTAGCATTGCTGTCGCGGCAAGTTTCGGACTTTCGCTGATTGTATAGAGGGTATCGCTGACATCTGTTGAAACGTCGTGAAATACGTTCTGCCTTGTCTCCTTGGCTGTTTCGTGCACATCGCCATATACTCCGATTTGAAGTCTGTGATGGTGGGCGAATGACTCGAGGCCCCGAATTTCTGATTGATATTATAGCTGAGGAATTCATGATGAATTCTCCAGCTTATATGGTGAAAGCTCAAGGTGCGGTTTATTTCTGACAACTTATTCTAGCACTATGCAAGGTCTGGTGACTGTCGCGGTCAATGGCTCTGTCGATCCGATCCACTTATGGGGTACACTGATAAGAGTACTGATGCTGGCCGAGCCTGTCCTGCAGAGGCCTTTCAACAACAATAACGATTGGAATATATGGGACAATAAGATTGATGTCCGATCTTCTCGGTCACAGTTGAGAAATAAATGAAATGGAATGAGGATGAAGGATGAAGTGAAGGGAAGAAGGACCAGAGGGCTCCGGATCAGCAACGGGGTACAGCCAATCGGCGACCGCGGCTCGGTTTCCCCGCAAAGTTACGTCAGCATGATTGACGTCACACTTGGATATCCCTCATCAGTTTCATCGGTGCTGTTTGAGGTCACGCCTTGCGTTAACAAGGCAAGTATGAGGTGTGAAGTATAAGATATCACTTTAGGGAGATACATATGCATTAGCCTGTGGCATTACTTCGCTTCAAATGACAAATGTAAGGCTAGGACAATGATATGTCCTGCCCCTCAGGTCCACAAAAGCGTACAAGTAAAACACAAGAATAACCCAACAAGCAAAGGCTAACGTTACTATACCTCTCCATTCCCATGCCAGCGTGGATAGCTGCGCAGCCTCCCAGGGTGCAGTTGGGGGTTATCTGAAGTAACACAGATGAAAATTCTCGATTCGAAACAAGAGTTTTGCACACAGCTTAGAGCTAGTAGTTGATGCTGTGGGTCTCATACTTTAAGAATTGCATTTCCTGCCATCCTGCCATTACATTTCGCTTGAGGCACTGGTTGCCAAAACTTCTTCGAGAGATATCGTCTGGGTTTTGATGTAAGTGCCCAGAAGTCGTAGTTTGTGGCTACATATTTCTTGGTGAAACAGTTGCTGGTACAGTACATCGATTTACTATGATTCTCACTATCAAGGCATGCAATGCAAACGCAACATACATCCGGGTCATTGTTCTATCCTGGGAATGACTGGCTGTGATAACTATATTGGCTTTCTTACGAACTGGCATAATCGGGTTCGCGTATCCTTCGGGAGTAACTAAGTCAACGGGGGTCCTGGAAAGCAACAAATGCTACCATTGGGTAGCCAGGCCGTCAGGAACCACCACTTCGAAAATCTCCAGGAAGCTGGCTAAAAGAAGCCCATGGTCCCTACATAACCCACATCTGAAGGCTGAGATGACAAGAAAGAAGCATGCTGATGAGGCTGAAAAAGAAATGTTGCTTGTCAATATATATATATCATGAGTACCAACATACATAACAACAGTGCTTCTCTATACTCTCCAATTTAGATATAAATTACAAGAATAGTCAGCCACTTATGTGGTCTTCTTAGGTATTCTTTTTTAGGTGTATACGAAGGCGGTAAAAAAAGCACACTTTATGCAAAAGACCTTTCTATGTATAACCTTTGAATCATGCTTTCATTTTAAATCACGTACCTTGAAAATAAAAATATCTATAGCCTCGCTATCGCATCGTTGTAGAGTGCTCCGACCTCGGAAAGTAGTCAATGTGGGGGTTCCTAATCGATAACGCCCTCCAGGGCTTATCCCCACAGAATCCCCGGCCAAATAATTTGAGCGACTCTCAACAAATTCTTCTCGATCTCATTCTGAATCAAATAATTCCGACTCAAATTCTACAAAATGTCTAAGCCAACACGTACCCCCGTCAGCACTAAAGGCGCACCCGTCCCACCCCCAATCCTCTCCCAAGGTATGGTCGTGGGTAACATTGTCTACTGCTCTGGCCAGTTGGGAGTAGACCCGACCACGGGTAAAATGGTGGAGGGAACCATCCAGGACCGAACAGTACGAGAAACGCGAGGTCTAAAATGTGATATATTTTCTAATATGCGAACAGCGACAAATCCTACGCAACCTTAACGCCGTCCTAGAGGCTGGAGGGTCGAGTCTCCAAGACGCAATCAAGGTCAACATCTTCCTCACCGATATGGCTGATTTCTCGGCTGTGAACGAAGTCTACGCTACTTTCTTCTCGGATCCTAAGCCGGTAAGAATTCTGTGGCCAAAAGAACGAGATTCGAATTCCATAGGGAATAAATATGATCCAGTCTGGAATTCGTCCCCCTTCCTCTCATATTCCTAAAAAAAAGTGGACCATTTCTCACTATCATCGGGCCTGGCCCTTCTAGGTGCGTACTTGCATTGCCGTAAAGTCCCTCCCTCAGGGATCGGATGTCGAAATCGAGTGTTCTGGCCTGGTTACCAAGGCTGGCAATGGACGCAGTTCTAGACTTTGAACGAAACTGCAGGGATGACGATGACGTGGGGAATAAGTAGGGCAGATAACTCCACCTGAATTGTTTCGTGGCTCTTTTTGATGGTCCAACTCGCGTCACTCTCCACCAGAGGCGAAGAATCAAATGTGCGAGAAACACAGCCACGTGAGTTGTGTATAGTTTACAGACTGGCTCGAAATATTACGAAAACTTTGGCCTTGATTGCATGTAATTTTTGTTTAGTACTTTTCAATAAATACAGGCTGAAACCAAGGATGAAGGGTGGAGACTAGAGCTGTAGCGCTCAGGAACAGGGTTAGCGTCTGCACTTGTCCATGGTACAGTTTATGAGCCCCTGGAAGTTTATTGTATAAAAGGCTCTTAAATACTGGGAGTATCTATGGACGCTTGATATTGTTCATATCTTCGAAGAAGAGAGTCAAAATTTGAGCTTACCTGAAGTCCTAGGTCAAACAAAGGGAACGTGGCTGGGTTAACTATAATTAAACCCGTGGAGCATCCATGGCTCTCGCATAAGCTTGTATGCTTGGTTCTTTGTTCCTGCATTTCTAAAGGATTTTCGATCTCGAGGATCCATGCATCATGCAACCACAAGCCCTTGAATAAAGCCAAAGAGTCAAGACCTTGGGGTAATAGAAGAAGAAATTCAAAATTTAGCGAAGATGATGAGACCGGGATTTCTCGGCTGAATCGATTTTTACACCATTTGGCATTGGTCGGCACAATCTCAAACACACTAGGAATGCTGAGCATCTGAAAATGACGACAAGAATGAGGGGAAACCGCAACTGCCAACTCCTCCATTCCGATCGGGGGGCACGTGGTGTATTTCATTCATGAAAGCTCAATCAGCTTCAGATCCAGGTTTTTAGAATACACAATGAGCAGGTGTTCGTGCTGTTCGTGTCAGATTAATTTTTATTAATCTATTATGCTGGAGATAAAACCTAAAGTTTCGATAGAGTGTGAAACATGCTTGATAACTGCCGGTTTTTAATGACCCAATTTTGAGCCAGGGCTCATCCCCTACTTCCATAGTGGATTGAAGTAGTAGTGATGTCGCACAGCATATGACTCGCAAGCCAAATAATATAAGCGTATATGTCTCATGAGACTCCAAAATGGAAGAACCAACTTATACCTTTCACAGAATGCCGGACAACTCTCTTACCAAGCGAGAAGCACTCAACGGGGGCTAGTCAGCACACCTAAGAGGTTTCTATTTCCAAGTTCTTTGTTGATCTTAAGCCCGAAGAAGCTAAGCGCACAAGACGGCCGAGCTTAGCCACTAATGATAATTATGGTAATATGAGCTGGGTGTTTGACGAAAAAAAAGGCCAAAAAAAAGCCTGTGCATCGCACACTTTGAGGTGGTAAAGAGGCCCAGGGGCCGTAATTGGGGCCACGCACTTTAGGTGTTCCCGACACGCTCAGGTACGTGTGTGAGAAGGACCCACTTAGTTTGACGCCTCCAGGCTAGACCTTGCAACGGACTAAACTTTGCTGGGAATTAATTGTCTTTACTTGCGCTTTTCTTTCCTTTTTTCCTTTTTTTATATTGTGATCCGCGGCTTGGGCGGGTTTAGCCCGACCCCATTCTGGAATTTGTATTTTTCTTTTTTTTTTTTTCGTCAATGGTCTCCGGGGCTATTGATCGGCTTAATTGAAAAACGGTTTTCAGACCCTAGTATGGATTTTTTGTCGAGTTTTTTTTTATTTTTTTAGAAGTTTCCGAAATTAAGTACATACTGCCATTATTGTATTACATTGCTCAAAAACTTGATTCTCATTCTAGCACAGGGTTTTATATATCTATACTCCATAGGATTGTAATATATATGTGCAATATTGTAGGTGATGAGTTGAGTGATCCGGCTATTGCGAATATCAGGATCGACGAGATTGTAAATCAACATTCAAATCTAAGTTGAGCAGGCATGTTCTGGGTATTATTGTTGCACAGACGAACGGCGTAGTGTGAAAAGGAAAGGTACATATCATCTAAGTACCTGTACATCGGCCTCCATACTGTATATGCTGAAGTGGGCTCTAGTCGGATGTACCGGTACATCCAAAGCGATCGTGGACCTATAGGGAACAGGCTCATTCTTTCCCCGATAGACATTCATTTATCCATTCTGGTTTGCTGCGTGGCATGACCCATCATTGCCGTTATGTACAAAGTACTGGCTGGACTGCCTAACTGCCTTGTCTGGGCAATATCGTGCGGGTTAGTTAGTTAGTGTTTAGGGTAGCTACATCGTTTCAGATTAGGGCCGTGGGATACCTTGACTTGGAAGGTGCTAAACAAGTTACAAGTACTATGGTACGGACAATATAAATTTCTAAATGGATCAGGATATCCATAGTATTTAAACGTACAACATTGTAACCAGGTAGGAATAAGATCAAATGCAAAATCAGCAGATATCACAAGCTAATAACTCAACGCTCAGGGGCAACGGAAGTGCGTGGCCACATCCCACACGCCTGCCAAACGCCCGGACCGGCTTATTAAATACACTAAAATACACTAAAATACGTAAGTTACCGTAAATTACCCTTGTTGACGCTGCTACAACGTGTGCCGCCTCCCCCCATTCCACCTTTCTTCTCCCCCCCCCCTAATGATGGAGTGGTCCTCCTCTTTTTGAATCCTCAACTTCATTCACTCATTTACTCCTTTCTTTCTCTCCCTTGTCTGTTTTTTTTTGCTGTGCTCGCCTGTTGACCCTCAACGGTGTTTTTGACCTGGGCCAATATCCCCTTGCATTGGTCGCACGCATTGCCTATTTTCCCTTTCTTTGATCTCGTTGCCCGGACGGTTCTACAGAAAGTCGTCGTTCGCTCCTTACAGCTTTCTAAGCTCACACTCGTTTTTCACCTTTTTGGGGGTTTCAGATTTATCGACATCCCCCTTTCCATTCGTTTATCATCGGATTATTGGTCGCGCCTATTCGGTCTTATCGGTTGCCATCGAGACATTGGATACTCTTGCGAATAATCTTGAAATCGTGAATTTATCACAATTGTCTGAAGCCTAGTTGTGTTAGAAACTCGAATATCCCCGGCGATCTACCTATTGTCACACCCCCTGATCGTTCATGAGGTGTTGATAGACGGTGTTTATCGCATTTTTGTACACTGACCTTGGACTCCCTCTGAGCTATCACGTACAGAATTGTCCAATATGCGCCCCGACGCCATCTCCGTTCTCGCAGCCTTCCTCGCTGTAGGCGGTTTCCAGCTCGTCGCAGCTCAGGATGCTCCCGAAGCGCACGCTCAACGGCCCCGATGGTACTTCCCCCAGGACGTCAAGCGAACTATTCGCAGAAGCGCTGAACCAGACCCTGGCTCCATCCTCGACGGTGTATTCGACAACTTGAGTCCTACCCAGGTTATTTCATCCACGGCTACTCCCATCCCCGAAACCTCCGCCCCGGCTCAGCCCCAGAAGGGACAGGAAGTCGTTGTTGTGACCATCTCGGTCGACCCCAAGAACCCCGAGATCACCCACCGTATTACTGGTACTACGACCATTGCTGGTGAACCGACTGGTACCACTACCACGACTACACAGAAAACGGAGGGCTCAAGCACCGAGAACACCACCCAGAAGAGTTCCGAGGTTGCATCTACCGAGAACACCACCAAAAAGAGCTCCGAGGCTGCATCTACCGATGCGGAAACCACAAGCAAGCAGGGATCGGTGATTGACTCATCAGCCAAGGCTTCGACTACATCTCCTTCGACTACAACCTCTAGCGCCGGCCTGCTTGGTGATCTGACCTCGGGTGTGGGCAACCTTCTCGGAGGTGATTCCACATCCTCAACTATGACAACATCTTCGACTGCGACTACGTCTCCTTCGACTACAACCTCTAGCGCCGGCCTGCTTGGTGATTTGACCTCGGGTGTGGGCAACCTTCTCGGAGGTGATGCCACATCCTCAACTATGACAACACCTTCGACTGCGACCGCATCTTCGACCGGGGCGACATCCTCGTCTGCGACTGCTACTTCCGACTCATCGGCCAAGGTAACTTCGCCTGCTTCTTCTTCTACTCCTGCTGCATCTACTAGCGATAGTCTCCTTGGTGACTTGACCTCAGGATTGGCCGGCGTTTTTGGCGAATCAACAACCAACAGCTCCGTCTCCGTGACACCCACTGGCACCTCTAGCGCAAACAAGATCAGCAGCGCGTCCTCAAGCATGACAAGCTCTGGGTCGGATCTCGCTGATCTTTTGGGACTGGGTGACAAGTCTTCCACTGGCAACAGCACAAGTGTTACCATGTCCTCGGATGCTTTGAGTTCACCTACCATCCCAGTCAGCGTGCCTGCTTCTGCTACTAGCTCATCGTTGGCCACCCCCACCTCTGGAACCACCACTTCTGGTGATTTCATCAGTAGTCTTGTGTCAGGCGTGGATTCCCTGCTCGGTATCACCTCTACTGCCACTGGTAGCACTGCCTTGATTCCAACTGCATCTATGCCAAATGGTAGTATTTTGCCGCCCAAGTCGACTGGTCTCATTCCTGGCCAGGGAGGTACTAACACTGGTGTTATCCCCACCCCGACCAAGACCCTGGGATCAGTTCCTGTCCCACACTCGCCCGGCTCTGAGCCTACCTCAACTTCCGGATCTGAAACCGTCTCTGGTTCTAGCACTGCCTCCGCTCCTTTGCTGGGCAATACCACCACCGCCTCTGTTCCCGGCAGTGGTACTCACGAGAGCTCCAAGGTTCCTATCCCCACCTCTCGCCCAGTCTCCACTCCCCTTCCCTTATCGACATCGTCGACTTCGTTGACTTCGACGAGCCAAGAAGTGAGCACGGCCAAGACCACCGTGGAGCCTCAGACTCCGACAGAGACGCCTACGCCCTCCACCTCCAACGACAACGACTGGATGCCGTCGACCATTCTTATCGTGCCTACCGTCACCGCCACGGAGAGCTCGACCTCTGGTGAAACCGCGAAGCCCACAGCACCACCGTCGCTCCCTGGTTCTATCACCCCATCGAACGGGGTCACCGAGGCTCCGTCTGACTCCATCTTGCTCCAGCTTGGTTTCAACAGCCAGCTGCCCTGGTCGTTTGTTGCAACCACTCCCTTATCGTCGTCGCAGATCTTCAACTATACCCCTCAAGCTATTGAGAACGCTTTGCCTGCCCTCGCTGCCAAGGACAGCCCAGTTATGTTTGCTATTGAGCCTTACTACAACTGGCAGTCCACGGGCTATAATGCAACCCTTGCTATCTTCTATTTCCCTCGTGACAAGGTCGATGCTCTGAAAGCGCTTAAGGTTAACCCCAACTCTGCTCTCTACAACCAGGCTAGCGAATCCATCCAGTCATTGATGACGATGGTTGACCCTACAATCCCCCTCGAGTTCTCTGGAAACTACCCTAGTGGTACTAGTGACTCGACTGGCGGTGGCAGCAATGGTGGCGGTGGTGATGGCCCAGACAGCGGTAACAACGAAAACACTGATGGCTCTGCCGGCAGCTCCAAGGCTAAGGCTAGCTCTGTTGGAATCGGAGTCGGTGTTGTGGCAGGTGCTGCCGCTTACGGTGCGGGTATGTTCTGGGTTGCCCGCCGCTACCGCAAGAGAAAGCAGCTGCACCAGCGTTCTAGCTCGACCGTTGAGCAGATGAGCCAGGGAGGTTCCGCCGCTGGTTCGATGTTCGCTGCTGGTGGCCGTGCCCCCAGTCATGGTAGCCGTGGAACTGCTCGTTCGCAGATGATCAGCGCTCCCGTTATGGCGGAGAATTCGTTGGGATGGAACTAGGCATGCTTTTGACAATACGACGTATAACCCACTCCTTCCACCACGCCCCCCTTTTGGACCCTAAGACGAAAATCAGAGGGCACCGTGGTTTTGAAGACCCTTATTTCTTCTGAGATAATTGCTCTTTTGAATGCGCTTATGCTCTCCCCACTCTCCAAGGGAGGCAGGGACAGAGAGACTGCACAAAACTTCATTTTCCTTGTCCATCATCCGCCAAGGATTTACATGTCACATATCACGTATCTCTTCTTTCTGTGCAATTTTTGACCGGCCACTTTTCTTCTCAACATGATACTCTGAGCGACGGTTGGTCGTCGCTGCGTGTGTCGCGTTATCATTTCTTTTTTTCTTTCTTGACATATTCCCCCTTTTGTTCACCAAATATTTTTTTTTTATCCCTTTACTCCTTTCAATGGCACTGGGACAACCAAATTTGGGACGAAATATTTTCTCTATTTTTGGCTTCCACTTGAAAGCTCTCTCTTATGAACTATTGGCCATTCAGTCTTTGGACTTGCACATTAATAATGGATTTAGGTGGCATCTTTCTGACAGCCAAAATGGCTTCCCTCTTGGCCCTTATTTTCCTCTCTCCTTACCTCTCTCTCTTACCACCCCTGTCTCTCTATGTTGTATTTCAATTGTGTTTTTTTTTGTTTCTGCGTTTCTGCGTTTCTGTATAGATGTATGAAATGTGTCCAAGTGCCGTGTGGCCTTGTAGATGTGGACGTGAGCCTGTCAATGAGACGAGTGGATCTCCTTTTTCTTCAAACCTGTCTTACGGAAGTAAATTGTAGTCCTTTTCGCTGCTTGGATAAGATATGTGCTGCCCCTGGCCTCGAATCCGTGTTCTTCGAGAAGTTCAAACATCTTGAGGTTGCCCGGGAAAATCTTAACCACAATGCAATGACCATTGCCTATCGCAAGCTGTAAGGGCCAGGAAACTTTTGTCCTGCAGATGAATCTCAACGTTATGACACTCCTCTAATGGGAATCGATCACTATGAGCGTGGCCGGATTTTGATGCGCAGGCGAGGACTGACTCAACATAGCACGTCAACTCAGCCTTGATATCAGCGTCTACGAGAAGTCGCATGACATCGAGATGACCCTTTACCGGTGCAAGTATGAAAGATGTCTTTTTGCTGGAATTGTCTTGGCCAGCATTGACGTCAGCCCCTCCATCCAGCAGCAGCAGCACCATATCGCAATAGCCTCTCTCAGCTGCGTGGTGAAGTACGGGCTTGAAATGGTCGCTGGGATTGACGCAAAGTCTTTGGGCAAGGAGTCTATTCACCACATCGGTGACATTGCATGTGACTGCCCACAGCAAGAATTGCGATGCTTGAATTCATAAACTCATAACTTGTCTGAACGAACATGAGCTCGAAACGAATATTGATAACGCAAAGACTAATGTTTTCCCATGGACGACACTCTTACCGAAGGAATTCAACTTGTGCATCCTATACGCCACTAGTCTGGTATACTGTTTGTCCAGGCTCATGATCCTGGGGCTAGCAGTTTCTAGTGTGCGCTCTATGCCACATGAGGTTTACGTAGAAACGTGGACGATGATCATCCCGGCTATATGATAGCATTTTCATACTACATACGACTATGGGCAAATGTGACGTACTGAGATTAGAAACATAACAAGAAAAATACAATATACTGCAAGATTCCATGTATAGCGCTGTATATGAAGTCGCTGTATATGAAGTCAGTCAGCTATATCAGTCTGTCGTGGCTGCTATCTCGTTGGTAGTATATCCTATACATTAGGTAAAGGTTGATAGATTCATACAACTACATTCATCGAACCCTAAGATGATGAACAACACAATGTTTCTAGTTAACTTTATCATTCTTCCCGGAATAATAGAATTATACAGAGATAAATGACACACTCTTCTGTTTGATTGCCAAAAGTGCCAACTTGTCCAAGTCCAAGTCAGATAGCCCTTGATCAATCTGTGCCTTAATAACCAAGTTTTGTCCATAATGGTGCTCAAAATTAACACTGGTATCCCAATCAAAGAGCGACGATCTCTCACGGAAGAAATATGGTTGACCGTCCTTATTAATGAGGTCAAACTTCTGCCGATGTGTAGATTGGTGAGCTGTTATGAATTCACCTGTAGTTGTCACTGCAATACTACAGTGCCAAGGACTCATGGAAAATGAGTTCTTCTGCGGGATAAGGGGACAAGACAGCTTTGTCTGCCCCGATGATGGATGGATAGAGAGACGCAGTGAGTCGGGATAAATTTGGCGTACTAGCTCCGCATACTCCTATAACCTATGAGATTAGCCATCTTGTCGCTTTATATGCGCTTGGAATGACTTGCCACTCCGCGGACAATCATGGCTTTTGCAATAATCTTGATCCTCTTCTTATATTGTTTGGGGCCAGCGCAATCACTGGTCACCGGGCTGAATTTTAAATCAACTTTCATGAACTTGTCGTATCCTGCATTAAATCAGCCTTGAGGCATTGGAACAACTCAAAAGACATACACTTACCATTATAGGTCCTCAGATAATCCTCATCACTTTTCAAAAGCTTATCGACATCAAAGCCTGGCCGTCCACACCGTCGATGAAGTTCGGCCCTCGATAACCCACAGAGCTTCACATAATCTGATTTGGAAATCTGGGCACCAGTATAAAGGCCCAGCATGTTCATAATACGATGGAACTGAATACAAGCATATCCCTTCTCAACAGCGATCTTCCGCAGTCGATTCCCGTATTCCCAGACCTCCTCGTCAGAAATCCCCGTGAGATCTAAAATACAGTCAAATTAGCGCCCATCCCTATATCTAACATCCTAAATTAATAGGAGAGTTTAATCTCACCATTATAGCAAATCCCATCCGTAACAATAACCACAACCGCACCAGGCGGGTAAACAGCCTTAATATCCCGACAGAGATTCACCAACCGCGCCAACGCAAGCTCATCCCCCAAATCCGGAAGAGCACCTAGTACCTTGTCCATACGGTTATTACTCTTCATTGGAAAAGCAGGTAAAACCATAGGAATCGCCCTATTAACTGCGACGTGTGCTTGCACACGCGGCGTGAACGATGACCGGCCCAGCCATTCTCCGGCTGCGGTTGTACGCTCATGGGAACCATAGCACCCAACGATATTCATTATTTCCTCCGCCTTCAGGCGGGTTAATGCGGGACATATTTCCGGTGCATCTGGATGGGTGTCGGTGGTGACTTCAGGTTTGGGGGGGACTGGGTGTGGTTTGGGGAGAAAGGACACTTGTGTCTTTGGAGTGGTGGTGATGCAGTCCAAAGGGATTATGTTTAGGTGAGCAGAGACTTCGACTATTGCTGTGGCTAGCATTTTGATATAGCTCATGATAGATGGAAGCAGGGAGGTCGGATTTAGGGGTTGGGAAGGGGTAGACTCGGTATTCGAATGTACTCGTGATTTATAGGGGTGATGCTCTCGTATCTTGTCTTGGAATTTAGTGGCTTCCTATCGCCACTTTGCTCTCTATTTCCTGTACGCATGGTCCTCTGGTATTCGCCGTCCAAATTTCCATGTGCCTGCCCCTTCCCCCCTCTTTTCTTCCCCGTTCTTTTTCTACTTCTGGTAACTTTTCTTCGGTGAATTCTTCAATGGAAACTATATTATTGGACAAAAAAGCTAACGGCATTGTTTATTGTCTGACTACGCGTGTGCGTAACTTGAGATATTATTGTTTTCATATGTCCGGATTAGGCATTTGATTGACGAGCCCTGGAGAACAACAATATGAATACTATAAGTGGATATCAAGTATTACAGGCAAATCTGCTATTTGAACAATCAAAGATGCTCCCCTAAAACAGAATTCTATAGCTACTCAACGGACTATTCATGCATTAATTTGACGCAAGCCGTTTCCCAGTTAGGCTATATTTAGGAGAAGCTTACACAAGAGGTCGGGAGAGAGCGGAACCAATTAATGTCTGAGGCAAGTTATTCCGGGAATAAATATAACACAACGATGTAACATTTCATTGTTTTTATGGCTGAAGGCTAATACATCACGAAAAATGTAAGAAGGCCCAGGATTTCTAGAGGGGAGCTCGACGCTAGACTGGCTGATCAAGTACCCGCTGCTCTCTGTACAAACTACAGCGTATATCAGTATCACAAATCACTACAGCTGTTGGGGATGACATGTCGTGTGTTTAAAATTGCTCTATCTTCATGGCCCGACTATATTCATGCCAAGGCCGGTGAGTATTTCCATCCCTCAACCCTCCGTCATTCACATCGAGTATTACGCCCGAAGCCTTGGTCAAAAGATTAAGCTCATCTGTAACTCTGACACCCTCTTTCAGGCAACCCCATTCATTCACAAGAAGTATGAAGCCTCCTTTTCTCGCTCCCAGCGATACTCCATCCGCTTCGCGGTCTCCATCCCGACTTCGATACCACCGTAATGCGCCGAAATAAACTCCAACATTACATCAATCCCTGCAGTAATTCCAGCAGATGACCATATCTCAATCCTGGGAAGCAACGACAGGCCATCAGGCACCTTATTCTCGGGAACAACATCACGCAGCCACCGTTTGTTCCGCTGCCAATTCACGTCGCCCGTTTGTTTAGTGACATCATCGTAGCGAGCTGAATTGGTTGTTGCCTGGCGTCCATCTAGAAGCCCAGTCTGCGAGAGAACATGGCTACCCGTGCAAATGGTAATGATGCTGTGGCGGACATAAGGCGCAACAGCTGTCAGAAAGTCCTGAATTTCCTGCGTGTTGGAGACTTTGACGTCATTAGATGTAGCAGCAGTGTTGTAAATACGGTTTAGACGTGTCCCAGGGCCACCTGGAATGATCAACACATCGATGGGTTTGAATTCACCACTGCCATCGTCGGCAACTTTCCCCGCTTTCAGGGAAGAGATCACGTCAGCAAATGTACATTGTGGCAACATTTGCTGGTTGAAAGCCGTATTGATATTTGAAGCGGGTAAGTCAAATCGCCATTTTGCCTTGGTAGGTGGGATTGGTTTTACTGAGACTGGGTCGAGAGTCGCGGCTGATACAGTCAGGGTGATGGCTGATGTGTCAGGGTACTGCGTACGGATGTTGAGAATGTCCAGTGGGGCCGCAACATCCAGCAGTTGGAACCCTGGGAACAATGGAAGGTGGTAATGGAGAGGTCTGATGGCCATTCTGTGTAATCCTCCGTTGGTGGACGAAAAGGTCCGGGAGGAAATGAGTGGGAAGTGCGGTAGCAAGGAGGTCATTCCAAAACAAAGCGGGTCACACACTTTTTGTTGATCCAGAGTATTCCAAGGTCAGTTGATGCAATTCATCCAAGAGGGAATGTATTCATATTCTTGTTCATATTGATGTGCGGACAAAAGAAAATCGGGTAATACGCTAAACAACATGTAAACTATGTTATGTGGCTTAAGGGTAATACCTAATTCAGTGCTTGATATTCGTCATCCTTAGGGGCAAGTCAAGTAGATACACGGAATAAGTCTCCATGGAAATATAATCATGCATGTATAGTAATTCTAAGCCCCCGAGAAGTGAGACCCGACTACAAACAACGCTCCAGTCAAAATGCAAATACCCCCGAATAATTGCGCGTACAGGTAATCACCTCCCCGTAACGCGATTAGCTGTCCTGCTATGTAAGGTCCAGTCAATAGTGGAATGCTATTGATCGTGGTGATCATTCCAACACGTGTGCCAGATTTCTCCGGGTCTTTGGATCCAAAGTACGCATTGGCAGCGGGCAATTGGCTCTGCGCACAATTGACCAGTAACCCATAGACCGTAGCCCAAATAAACATGCCAACATGAGTGTGTACACCAATCCACCCTAGAATGACGATGCCGCAAGGGATGGAGACTGCAATGCAAGTTCTTACCGCGCCCAGCCACCTGTCCGCCACGAATGCAGATACAATGCGAGATGGAACACCAACACCGTTCATAAGGATTAGAAGGAGAAGTGAGTCGGATGCTGTGAAACCTGTGTGAGCCTGGGCAAATTGTCTAAGCTGTAGATGTTGTTAGTTGCTGTGCCACCAACCCAATGTGAAACAAAACAAAACTTACATAAATGTATGCAAAGTAAATACCTTCGAAGATCAAGAAAGAGCCGATCGAAAAAAGGAGGTAAGGACGTTCACGGAACGCGCTAACATCCACCCAGGGAGGAGGACCCCGAGGTATTATCCGAGACCTGGTAAACTTAACAATTATAACGCTGTTAAACAGGATAATGGCCGTCATGACCCGGACGGTCCACGCGAAACCAATATTGTTCAAACACTTATAAGCGACCACTGGGAAAACCATGCCCCCAGTCGCTGCCCCGCAAGAAGCCAGCGAGACGGCCATCACTCGCTTAGAGTTGAAGTATGTCGCATACAGCGAGATCATGGGGCTAAAGACGAGTCCGTGGCCAATTCCACTGACTATACCTTGCGCAAGCCAAAAATGCCATAATTTTGTGCCGAATGATGTTGCCAATGCTCCGGCAACCTGGAAGAAGCACCCAAGAGCGATACATTCTCTCAGATAACCCGCGTCCATCGCTCGGCCTGAGAAAGTAGCCAGGAAATGGACTAGGAACATCTGCACCGCTCCGATCCAAGATGCATTCGCTGGGCTGACCTGGAGAGTTTTGACGTAGTATTCCTGGAAAAAGCCGTATCTATATCACGTCAATCGTTGCAATCTATATCAGATGTGACAGGGCTCCCTTACGATGTAATATAGCCCCATACATTGAACACAACTAGGTGTCCGGTCAGAACCTGGGTCCAGGCCACGAGACCTCCATCGGGAATTTCATTATTCTCGGCTTTGCGGCCTTCGTCTTGTAGGCGGGGATCTGGGTAAACAAATAGCTGGGCTTCCTCGGCAGGAGTAGTATAGGTAGTGGGCGACGTTGTGTAAGACGAACCGGCGGGTGTCGAGGATGCTCCGGCGACATTACTCGGTGTTATGTTTGGCTGGCCCATGTTATTTGGGAGGGCTTCACATAGCAAAAAAAAAAATATTTCCCAAGATTTGGAAAACAAAGTGGGCAGTAGGCAGTATATGAGAGTTAAAAACTAAAACACATTAGGTGCTACGTACATTGTGGAGTCGATGTACCTGCTCCCTGTAGAAATCTTGCAGATATGTTCTAGTTTTGCAGGAATTACAGGTACTTCTGCAGGCAATAATACATATATAGTGTGTATTTATCTTAATAAAATACCGTAAACTATAGTTATGTCACTGCAATCGAATGTTGATTTGACGCGGAGGGATAACAATAATATCCGAACACTCCCACATTTTGCTGCACACATTCGCCACTTCCTATACATTCCATTAACAATGGAATTTGAATACTCTCCAGATAACGTGCCTCAAAAGGTTGTTGAGGTGTTAAAGCGGTTTTGCTTGCATTCAAGCAAGGATGGCCATCAGAAAGACGTCGGAAGGGTGTTCGAGTCTGTGCCTGAGAAGCTGAAGGTCAATATCACCGCAAACCAGCAGATAACTATGGTCTTACCTGCGTTTCCATGGAAGAGCCCAAACCAGGACAAAGTTCTAGGATATGGAGCTGATCTAGGAGAAGAAATGGGTCTGGCGAAGTTGAACCACCTGTGCGAGGAGATCTCAAAGGTCTACCCTTACGGCGCACGCCTAATCCTCATTTGTGACGGACCAGTATATAATGGTATGTCTTTTCTGATATTAATTTAACAGTGATATAACTACCGGGAGTGGAATAAATAGACTGACGGTGTAGACTTGGTCGGCGTTCCTGACGACGAATACTACGATTACGGTATTGAGCTGCGCAAAATCGCCCAAAAGAAGCATTTTTCTTGTATCCAGTTCACCCGGTTGATGAACTTGCTGGGGGTAGGAGATGGCGAGAAAATTGCCAAGGCAGATTACCTGCGTCTCGTCTCCACCTGTAGGGAGAAATTGATGTCACCCACATACTTCGATCCGACATTCGACATTAACCATGAGCTGAGGACCAATCCAGATACCAAAACAACATACCAGAGCTATTTTAGTCGAATCTCAGAGGATCTCAAATGGGCCAAAGGGTTTGATCCTCTTGTCGCGGCCGACCCAACGCTCTACGCGGCTGAGGTGTCCAAGATGGCAAAAACCATGATCAACCGGCTCATTGTAAGTTTCATTGCGGTGATATACTTCGTTTTTGGTTTTTCTAAAATATGACTCCCTGGCTCACTGTTTTATTAGGCATATGAAGCCGTCATCAATGCCACACTTGGAAAATACATCCGTCTCTCGATTCACCCTTCATTGGGGCGAAACAAGATCTCTATTCCCCTACTGCGACAAGGTGACATGTTTGGTGATATGCCGTGGCATGCAAGTGTGGTGGTACTTTCAAATGGAGAGATTAAGACCGGAAGGTCCCGAGAATTTCGCAAACTGTACGAGGTCGTTATGAAGCATGGCCGGCCTTATTACTTCAGAGAGCGGAACCCGGCGTATGAATGGGAAGCAGAGGTGGAGTTTCAGCATGATTATGATGGGCTGACTGTCAAGAATCCTTATCAGAGGGTTCAGAGACTTGGTAGAGATGATCGCTTGAAGTTAGCTCGCTTGATTGTGCAGTATCAGACCAAGTCAGTTCGGGTGGAGGGCTTTGAGGTGCCAAATGACGTGTGACCGTTTTGATTTCACTTGCTTACTTGCTAACTTGGATTGATAATATATGCTGCTGGAGAAAGAATACAGAATCCAGTGACAGAGTGCCTTACGAGGATGATAACGAGTGATGTAAAATTGAAGGAGAAGAAAGTTGTTCCCTCCAAATTAGGAAGGTGGGTCTACCACAAGTTCCTCTATTTGGAACCATGGGTCCTCGCGACAGACTAAACTGACTCTATTTCGATGTCAATTCTGTTGTTTGGATACTGCAGAGTTGGCTTGGTCAATAAGGCAACCCTTTCATTGATGATGTCTAAGCTTCAAAATTCTGAATCGGCCAATGAAAGCTATCAATTTCGCTGTAGGAAATCGTTGTTTGTAGCTTTAGGTAATTGAAGCTCTCTGCATAACTAGTTATAAGTTTGATCCGATCTTTTTGCTCTTGAATCAAATTCGATCTTAATTCGACTGGCACACGATGGGGAACATCTCACCAATCCCAATGTAGTGGTATTTATTTCCTTGCCGCAGGGATAATCAGCATAATCTGTGCTATTGACGAGATCAAGGTTATGAAACGCCATCCCACTACATAAATTGAGGTCTCAGACATTCGACACCAACAACTTGGCCATCACCCACGGATTGCACATTTCGAAGAAGTCGAGGAAGAGGTTATTCTAAAGCTGGTGACTGCCTCCGTCGCATACTCCAGTGTGCCTATATAAATCCTATATTGATGTATAACCAAGCTCCGGTGGACCTAAGAAACTACAGAGGGTCTTCACTATACCCATGGTAAATAAAATGTCCATGCGGACGTCGGATGCCACAATGTGATTCTGGATAGCCCCCGCTATATCAAGATTATTGATTTCGCCAGGTCTAGCTTCACCGGGGAAGATGCCTTGGTTCGTTACGAATTGTGTAGCTATCAACCGGGTGATTATGATCAGGCTATTGGGTGTAGTTGGGTATTATTTTCTAGGAGATGCTTCCCTGTTGGCTACGAATGTATCACCACATTCCGCAACAACCGCTCATTGCGAGAGCCACCGGCTATGTTGTTGGTCTTCTTGAGCCCGAAGATACAATATGTCATCAAGACAGTCTTCACCAGCCACATCTATGACGATAGAAATTGAAAAAGTGTTCTTACTACCTTTTGGGGTAGATGAATAATATGACCATATCAAAAAGAACGAAGGATGATTATGTAGATTTTGTTCAAAAATGTTGGGTGTAAGTGCATAAGCAAACCCAGTGGATATCAGTGGGAATAGGAGATTAGAGAGTGGGGAATGATGTGTACAATAAGTGGTAGGGGGAGATGCGCCCATATGCAAGAGACACAAGCAGCCAAAGTAGGCACTTCGGCCAAAACAATGAAATTAGAAGTTGGTGTATTTACCTCATTCCTTCTTCTTCTTATCCGATTCCGAGTCAGACTTTCCAAACCAGCTCGTCAGCGATGCAAGTCGACCACTGCCGGCGTTCTCATTTGACTGCCGACGGAGCTCACGCGCTCGTTCTCGCTCAGCCTTGTACTCGTCCCAGGAGAGGTTTGCCGCCGCAGCAGCACGAACCTCCTCATCTTCCCGGGGAGGGAGGCTCTTGCCAGGCAGTGGGCGGACGGCTGCTTCGCCGCCGTAAGCACGAAGACCAGTGCGGAAGGCCCATTCGACGGCCTCGTCGACGGGATGATCGAAAATATAGGGAAGGAAGGGGACAACGGCAAGACCAAGCTATAAGAAACAGTCGTTAGCATCGTATTTGCCGATTTACATTTTCGACCGGAAGGAAACGGTACATACCCCGATCGGCGTCCAGGTACGAATAAACGCAATCTTGACACCCTTCACCATCTGCCCAGAGTAGCGGACAACACTGTGGATCGTGAATGCGGGCAATCCCATACTCGCGATACTCTGGAACACAGCGCGCTTGGCCATGACCATGCGGTAGTCCTCTGCAAGCGGGATCTCGGCGGTCGGCCAGTGTGAAATCCCATCCTTGGACTCGGCTTTGTTGCCAATCGTCATATTTCCCGTTGCCATGCCCTTGATAATCTGGTTCTGCGAAGGCTGGCTGGCATCCTTGTAAGCCTCGCCGGCGGGAGCCAGTGCCTTCCAGTTCCGGAGATAGGCCTTGTAGCCTTCGTGACCAACATCGCCTAGCAGGTATGTCCAGGAGATAGTGTAGGCAGAGCGCACGAGCCACGGGTGTGCAATCGGACGGAAGGACTCGCCAATGTCTGAAGTGTATGCGACATAGCGATGGGCAGATAGGAGGATCGTGCGGATACGGTTGGCGTACGCGGCATACCGGAACCCTGTGTCTGTGGAGTTGACCGAGCTGCCATCAGTCGAGGTGTCCATCGTTAGTTTCTGGAAATTTTTTTTTTTTCTTCTTTGTCTTTGCTTGCTTTTGGCGTTGCGTTGGTTTGCTCAAGATGAGTTTACAGAGTAGTATGTCATCGACTCAAGCCGGAAAGTACCACTCGCTAGCCTTCTTTCTCAGGCTCTCTTCTCCCCTCCGCCTCTCTGAGAACGCGACAACAATTTGCTTGGGACAAAAACATAATGTAGAAAAATTAGAATTTCACATACTATTGGGAATAAAGGTCATCGTAGAATTCGTCCTCGCGATCAACCAACTGTTGCAATTTTGCGGGGAGCTTCTCTCGGATTACTGGCTTATCCAACAACTCCTGCGGGGGAGACCGGGGTTCATCCTGTTGACGACCGCCCCAGACCATTGCAAATATAGTATAGTATGGTCAGTGATGACTTATATAGTTGTTTTGAACAAATCAATGCTTATTTGCGTGCCAAATGAGGGGAAATCAAACCAAAAGGGGTATATAATATGAAGAAAATAGAGAAGAATGAGGGAAAGCTATGCGAGGAAGGAAACAGGTTATTTAAAAAGATTCTCATATTAACCGCACTCTACAGCCGAAGACACAGCCATAGCCGGGATATACAGCATTAGCTGAGGGATGATTCCCTCCGAGGTACCGTTGGTCTCCTCCGGCTCGGGATCTGGGATAGAAGTAATATACGGCATGTCTCAGGGCCGAACTCGACATTTATTGTTCATTGTCAAAGCTTTTCAAACGAACTTTAGCTTGTCTGGACTTTGTGCCTCATCGGGTTCCAACAAACATTTTCGGTATTTTCGTGTGATTGATCTTCATATGCCAATGCACCTGGGACGTTGGTCCCGGGGAGGTCACATGATATCGGATGCAGCCGGGTGGCCGAGTGTCCTTACCTAATCATCCTCAGTTCCGAAGTCATGTGAACTGTCTAACCAGATCAGGAAAGGCGGTATCCGTGCCGACCTCGTCGTTCGGTCCAAGCCTGAGGATTCCGTCCACATCGCTGCCAATTGAACCTCTCGCTGTACCTCAATTCCAACCCTACAAAATGGTTGTCTACTACCAGATCGCCGGCAAGAAGGTCGGCTCCCACGTTGTAAGTTTACGCTGCCCTGGAAGCGCCGCTGCGCGCTCGCTATCCCTTTCTCCTCGCGTTTCGTGCGGGTACTTGTGAAACATGAAGGTTGACCGTGTTCCCTCCACCGCTCAATAGCTCGCCATGGCCACCCTCGGCAGCATTTTCGCCGGTTCTTGGCTCGCCGTTTCCGGTGGTGAGAAGCCCAAGACCGCTCAGGGTCCTCCCATCAACGCCTCCTCTAAGGATGAGGAGAACTTCGTTCAGTATGTGCCACACCATCACAGAGAACCGAGAATCGTCGACCATCAATCAGATCTCGATATCAGCCCCCGAGCGTTTTACTGACTACATATCTCACAGGAACTTCATGAAGGAGGTTGATGGCGGCGAGAAGAAGCCCGCCGCTAGTCACTAAACCACCCCTCGATACGGATTATATTGATGGAGCGGTCGAACCTGAGCAGCTAGGATTCTGAATTCAAACAAGCTGCCTCCGCTCTCATGCCATTTTTAGCGCGCAGTGACGTGTATCCGCCCTTCCGCAGCGATTTTTGTGACCACGGTTTTTTCGAGAAGTTACACGGACTGATTTTGGGATGCCGGGCGGATGAGGTTGATTGATCTGTACATAGGAGGCGTGTACGCTGCATAGAAAATTATCCTCTTGACACCAGCTTTTCAGGTCGGTTTTTTTTTTCCCCTTGCCATTGAGCATGATCAATCAGGCGAGTGGTACGATTGCTTCAACGCAATACCGCATCGGGTCGCTCGGAGTCTGTGCTTGACAAGAGCCCTCTGTGGACTTGTACCCTGGCATGAATATTGCTCTCTGCGGCTCCGATCAGCTTGCTTGTCTGGCCAGTGGGAGCGATTTAGCAACGCGGGGCCGTAGAGCAAAACGAGAAGATGTAGATGTAAATAGCATGGAACAAGCATGCTCTAAAACAACTCTGATAGTCACACGCGACATCCATACACGATCAATGAACTTCCAATGAGTTAATTTGCTACTCAACTCAATCTCAAAAAGCTTAACGGCTAACCCGAGGTCTCCAGGACCTCCGCCGCAACTCTCCTACCTACCACTTCACCCTCACAACAACTCCCCAAACACCCCAACCAACCAGAAAACCCAAAATGAAACCCCTCCCCTTCCCATTCCCCCTGAATATTGGCACAGACATAGTTCACATCCCACGGATAACCCGCCTCCTCACCCGACCCAACTACCTTCCACGATTCACGCGCCGCATCCTTTGCGACCAAGAACAACACGACTTCCACACGCGCTTCAGCGAAACCCTCAAAGCGCGCGCCGCATATCACCAGCAACCTCCACCCGTGCCGGCGGACATAACACGCTGGCTGGCGGGACGTTTCGCGGCGAAGGAGGCGGCGCGCAAAGCGGCGCCGTCTGGTGCGGCTTCGATTGGCTGGAAAGATGTCATGGTCCGGATACAGGAGGATGGGGGAAGGTTTGGCGAGGGTGTGAGTCGGAGGCCTGAGATTGTTTATCTTGGGAATGCGCTGGATGGGGATGTGGGTGAGGGGAGGGTTGCGAAGTTGTCGATCTCGCATGATGGGGAGTATGTTGTGGCTACTGTTTTGGCTGCTGGATGAATTGTTGGGCCCATCAGACTCTGGTTTGTTGATTGAATCTCCTTGCAACTGTTGTGGCTGGTGCACTTCGTCTCTGGGACTACAGCTGGCCCAGCACCGGACGGCGAGCAGTCACTTCCCTAGTACACAATGCTGTGATGGTTCTAGTGCGCAACTACTGGGTAACGACTGGGGATTCATCCTCTTCTAGGGGGGTGGCTTTAGAGAAAGTCAAGGCTTTGACATGATTTGCCCTCTGGTTCAATTGATCTGGCTCAATACTTGCAATTGAGTCATACCAGTCGAGACTCATTTACAACTCGAATGACAGTGTGCTTCACTGGAGGACGTCATCTTTTATGTCTGATATAAATGTACTATGTACGCTTGTGATTAGTGATACCTGGGTAGATGGCGGGGATGGCTGGAAGTAACATCTCATTGGGCTATACCAAACAGATAAATTGTGAAGGTAAAGATCTAAGGGCCAATCAAGAAATATATATTGTAATGTTCAGCATTATATCCATGGATATATGGATCCATATATACACCATATATACAGTTACTTGGTGTTTTCCAAATTACCCTGCGCTAAGCGGCACAGAAATCCTTATCGTCTATCAACGTTGGATCTGACACCCCGACTCTCCCGAGTAGACGTAACCGGCAGATTCCATATTCCTCAGTAGAACGTCCTAAAAAGGCAAATGTGAGTATGAAACATATTCACTGTTCAATGCGGCTACATACTCCTATCTCTGCCAATCTAACTCTGCCTTCACTTCGGATATTATGCTAACCACGAATCGCAGTGACATATCCAGAAAAAATGCCATTCTCACATCATAGTCATTCGGGCCAATTTTGCCCTGGCCATGCCCAGAATTCTTTGGAAGATGTGATTCAAACTGCCATCAGCAAGAAGATGCAAGTCTTCTGTCTGACTGAACATATGCCCCGCCATAAAGAAGATTTCTACCCCGAGGAAGTGCGTAAAGAGCACCCACCGCAGAATCCTGAATTAACCAATCGTCCAGGTCGAATCTGGTGATACAGAAGAAAGCCAGATAGAAAACGAAACCGCTTACTGGAGGGAAGCAGTCACTCTCCGCGAGAAGTATGCCTCCCAGATCAAGATCATCATCGGCTTCGAGATTGACTGGATCCGACCCGCCTCCAAAGATTTGATCGAACGCTCGCTTTCACGGTTTCCCTTTGAGTTCTTCATTGGCTCCATTCACCACATGCACACCGTGCCCATCGACTATGACCGGCCTATGTACGAGAAGGCTCGGGAGAAAGCCGGCGGAACAGATGAGCGACTATTCGAGGACTACTTTGACGCACAGCTAGATATGTTGGAGCAGCTCAAACCGCCCGTTGTGGGCCATTTTGATTTGATTCGTCTAAAGAGCGATGACATGGAGTGCAGCTTTACTACTTGGCCTGGTGTCTGGAGTAAGATTCTACGGAACTTGGACTTTATTGCCTCGTACGGCGGTATGCTGGAGCTCAACTCTGCTGCATTACGCAAGGGAATGACTGAACCGTATCCTAAAGCGGAGATTTGCAAGGTAAGAACGCAGTCTTTTGTTATATATCTTACGACTAAATTGACGGTTTTAGGAATTTGTGGCGCGCAAAGGTCGCTTCTGTTTGTCTGACGACAGCCACGGTGTTGAACAGGTTGCTTTGAACTTCCGTCCCGTGCTTGATTTCTTGGATCGCGCTGGTATTTCAACCCTGCATTATCTACAACTGGAAGCGTCGGTGTCATCTCCTGTGCCCGATGCTCGGTTCCCTAAGACGCAAATTGTGGAGATATCAGTGGAGGAGGTGAGAAAGATGGCATTTTGGTCATGATTTTACAATCTATGCATATTGATGAAATTTTGCCTGGTATTCTCCGGCATTTCTACTATCATACCCAGGTCAATGTCAGAGAACAGCTTCGGGGTTATCGCGGGGATGTTTCCCCCACCATTACCCCTCCGCGGGGCATTGACGGAACAAATAGGATGATCCTTTCTCAGGTCTGAGCGAAAGGGGGCTCAGTGGTCTGGTCTTGTTGGACATAACTAAGAGATTCTAGCCATTCCATGTTCCATGTGGCACTTCTAAAACCCACGAATTTCTCCGTCTTACGCAGATCATATCCCTGTAGGTTGAAGTTTATGCCTTGGTATTACTTCCGAGTTATTTTCAACTATTCCTAGCTGTTTCCAGCTGTTTCCAAGCAAGCCAAGCAACCGTGTCTGGAATTGATCCCAGTTTGAAAGGAATTCTCGGAGTATTGTACTCCTGAACTTCGCCAGAAGTTGCTATTGAGTAAATAGGTACACTGTAAATAAGAATAATAATCCAATAACCAACCAATACATACACCAATGTCCAAAGAGTGAAGTTCATTACGTCGTGTCCCGCCCAGGCAAAAAAAAAAGTGGATAATCTGCCCCTCCCGAGCTTCCCCCCGTCTTCTTTTTTGGTTTTCTTCTCTTCACATCTCTCTTATATTCATATACACATCTCTATTACATCATGGGCGTTGAAAAGAAGACTCTGGTTGAGGGCAACGGTGTTGACTACCCTAAGAAGGGTGAGCATGTTGCCATCCACTACACTGGCTGTTTGTATGACGCCGAGAAGGCCGACAACCACTTCATGGGCAGCCTGTAAGCCAAATCTCCATGTCACGTTGAGGCGACCCAAGCGCTGATATACCAACAGATTCGACACCTCCCACAAGCCCGGCCGTGGTCCCCTTGCCACCCCCATCGGCGTCGGTCGTCTCATCCGCGGTACGTTTCAATATATCCCAACTGAATCTTCCGTGAGATACATAGTTAGCTTCTTTCAGCTTACTAACTTGGTGAATAGGCTGGGACGAGGGTGTTCCCCAGATGTCCCTTGGCGAGAAGGCCATCCTGACCATCAGCCCGTGAGTTGCCGTTTCGAACTTTCCTTTGCGCTTTTGCGCTGATCTACTGAACAATGTGCTAACCTTCGATTCTTGATAGTGACTTCGGCTATGGCGACCGGTACGTACCAACCAACCAAACCCGATGCTGAATCAACAATCTGTGATTTTCGCGATACCTCCAATCCCTCACAACTCCAACTTGCGCCTTACTTCTCTTTATGAGATTTGTGCTGATATCAAATTATTTAGTGGCTTCCCCGGCCTCATCCCCGCCAACTCTAAGCTTGTCTTGTGAGTAAACATTCTATCTTTTCTTTTTTTCTTTTCTTTTCTTTTTTGTTTTGTTTTCTTCTTCATGCTACGAAGCCACAAAGAGCAACTAAACTAACTGTTCACAGCGAGGTCGAGCTCCTCAAGGTCGGCACCAAGAGCGTTTAAATCAGCCGCTATTCCCAACTTTCCGGTTAGATATAAGATATGCAAATACCAAACAAGAAAAAAGAATCATTTGAATTATTCCTGCTCGTCTTATATGGTCGACAGGCTATTTGGATAGCAAAGTCAAACCTTACTCTCTTCGCTGTCCTTTGATTTAACCCGTTACCCAACGAAGAAAGTCAACTGGACTAGCACATGTCTGCCATCTGTTTCCCGTGTTCATGTACACACCCTGTAGATGCTCTAGCCTAGCTTGCCTTCACCTCCACATCACCGCGCGATGCTATTGATATAATCAATCCCGTCGACACGGTACGTGTCGGCTTCGATATAACTCTCATTTCGGGGTAAGCGGAGAACAAAGTTGGTGGCACGGGACGAATACTTGGGCCATTTGGCAATATCAGACACTAGAAGGTAGTCAGTTTCCACGCAATAGAATCTAGCCGCACGCGTATGCTACTAACCACCATGTCCATTGGGATCTAGGTCTGCCACAAATGATGTCCACATTCGCGCTGCCATCTGTCCTAGTTCCAAGCGCGCAGGGTCGGATCCAAGCGGTGTGATGGTCTGCACTGGATTTGCAAAGACGAAAGGGATCTTTAAGCCAGATACAAGCGTCAGTTCATCTGGCAGGCTAGAACCTTGGGTAGTATCCCAAGACAGGGTGGATTACTACAGGATTTTACTACATACCTCTGCAAAGTGTTGCACCCCAATCGTGGTTGAGCTATTCGACGCCGCCACATCCCATCTGTATGAATATACATTGTCACGCCAGCCGGCCATCCGTTGTGCTAGCAAGCGCCGTGGTGCGACCATGGTCACATCCCCGGCCATGGACGCATAGCGCTTGTACATGAGTCCCAGCGAGGGCCAAGTGGTATTTCCCCAACCATAGGGGCAACCGACGGCGGGGATATTGGGGTAGTAGGATAGCAGCCGGGTAGCCTGGGAACGATCCAGGACCCAGCGCTTGGATGCTGTGATACTCGCTTAGCACGTCGTCATAATATGTGACGGTAAACATGATTTGCAATATCACTTACCAGTCAATTGATTGATGCAGTCCTCATCGGTGTTTGTGCCTGTCGTCCCAAAACTGGTGCCCTCGTCGGTATTCGTCCCTATCAAGATAGGCACCTGGGCCAATTTGCCTTGTTTATAGCTGATTTGCGGATACTGGGATATGAATGAGCCGTCGACAGTAGCAAACCATTCTAGACCCTCGTTTGCAGTATTGTATAAGGTCGCGTAGGGTAGTTCACGAAGACATTTTAGGGTATTCGTGGAATTGGTGCATCTGGGGATAATATATTAGTCTGTGAATAAGACTTGTTCGACATAGACTTACCCGGCTCTCTCGACGATTCGGTCATACATTGGCTGGTGCCATTCTGTTCCGTTGTATGGGGGCCCAACGGCATTGCCAGAATCCATGATTGCTAATTATGCTTAGTCTGGTGTTATATAAAAAAGGTAGGAGTGGACTATACCAGCTCTAAAGAGACCTTCATTATCGCCATTGTTGGTTACCAAATGGGCTCCGACACTATATGCACCACTGTTTATTCGAGAATAAGCATTTGATATATCCAAAATATATTTTCAGAGACTCACGCGGACTCGCCCCAGATAGTGATCTTGCTAGGATCACCACCGAACGCTTTGATATTCTTCTTCACCCAACGCATAGCCGTGCGCTGGTCACGCAGTGCTAGATTAGTATTTCCTTCCGCCTGGAGTCCAAGTTAGTATTGAGAATCTGCCACATCCAAGTCTGTATACAGTGGTCTTACCCTTACTTCCTCCGAGTCAAGGAATCCGAATGCCGCCAGGCGGTAGTTGATAGAAACACCCAGGACTGGCTTGCCGTTCAATGCACTCTGTTCAACGATATAGCTCATATTATATCTGTAGATAGTGTAGCATAAGGTTAGCCACAACCATCGCGCACTCCCTTGTATATCCTTGACCAACATACCTCGGATCTGCAGTAGCGCCCTGTGTCCACCCACCGCCGAAAATCCAGATCATAACTGGAAGTAATTCGTGATTCTGGTCTGCATTGGGTCGTATTATATTCAAGTTAAAGCAGTCTTCATTCAAAGTGATAAGGCCGTTGTTAACCATGTTGGTAGTATCAGATCCATACGCAGGACAGTCATAGCCGTATTCCGTAGCATTGTAGTATACCGACTTGGAAGTAGTGCCGAGTCCTGATTGAGGTAGGTTATAAGTTCCAGAATTACTATCCTTAGATGCATAGGTGCTCTTGAGCTCGGCTGGTGTGAAGCGAATTGGCTCGTCGGCATACTTGATGCCCAGGAAGAGGTCCTGGTTGAACTCTGGAAGAGAGCGGCCCACAAAGATTGTCTTTGGGCTTTCGTTACTTGTTGATAGGGTTGCTGTTGGGGGATTTGCTGTAGTTCCTGTTATTTTGGATGGGAGGGGTTTGGTTATTGCCCCGCATATTACAGAGAAGAACGAGGCGGAAAGGAGCATGGAGGTGCTTGCTATCGACCGCATCTTCGAAGTTTTAGAGGTCAAGTTGGGCGAGTCAGAAGGTAGCGGTTAATTCACTCTTATATAGTTCGTTTTCTACCAACTTGGCTACAAAATGGATCCAATTCAGGCCATGGAGAATTAGATATCCTCTTGTCCGGGAAATTGGACCAGAATCAAACCCCACTAACGACAATTTGTTTATTATTGGGGATGAGCTGTGATAGTTTGGTGCAAGGCGTGCTCATAGGTGGGAAAATAAAGAAAGCTCGGGCCAAGTGAAGGCAAATGATGCTAGCGTCCGAACTATACTCCTATAGAAATAGTCTAGAAGATTGCGACGCATTACTGAATAGTCTACTTGGAAGATTAAAAAAATAAAAAAAAGGTTCTAGATGGTGGAACATTAGCTTGTTAAGGCCGTGATATAGAAAAGAAAAGAAAAAAAAAAGCGTTGAAGATATCGTACATCCAACATGCCAAAAAGAGATAAGAGTCCAAAGTAACACCAATCCGTCACACAACAGCCTGGCTATTTGAGAACATTGGCCGAATATTCAATCGGGCCAATGACCTGTATGCAAATGGCAAGGTATAGTCTAACATCCTGTCCTATCTAAACTTCTCATGCACGCGATGCTCTAATGCCAAATATAGATATAGCCTGACATTAGAAAATGGCAACGCCCAAGTAGGAACAATAGCACCAAGCCGCTCAGGGAAAAGAAAAATGTGGAAGAAGAAATGCAAGACACTTGAACTCCGAAGAATACACACACGCGGAGACTCTTATTATGTACGCTTGGAAATTCAAACACGTTAATCATCCTTAACTCGCTCGCCATATGCGGATGAACCGGAGCCCGAACCAAAACCAGTCGCACGAGACCTGCTCGCTGCCACCGCCGAAGGGCTATTGTATCGATTAGATGAGGATGAGGATGAGGTGGTCTGTAACTCAGACCTCCGCGATGCACCCTTGAGCGGGCTGGGGGAGTTCCGGTCATCCACCATCCCATCATCAAGCTCAATTAGGTCGTCCATCCGCCACATATTGCGACCCCTGCTGCTACCCTGTTGGGTGGATGGTCCCTGCTGCAGCTCATTGATGCCGGCCTTAGCGCGCGTTGCTACCTTTCGAACCCACCCCTCAAAAGCCCCGCCAATGTTCTCAAGGCCAGTCGATGCATTGGATGGGACAGTGGATGCGGATTCAAAAGAAGTTGCCCGGGAATTTTCTGGGGGTTGTGCCGGTGTGAGATTCGGCATGTGCTGTGCGAAGAACCGGGTGAACCCATCTAATGCAGGCCCTGGACCAGTCGAGGTGGGGTCAAGGGTTCCCACCCCAGTGGCAGACAGCTGGATACTACTGCGCTGGCGGCGATGCTGAGGACGAGTGGGGTGTGTGGGTCTGGGTTTGGGCAGATCGCCATTCGGTCGAGTTCGGGGCAGTAAGCCAAAGGACGAAGGGGAAGGTGGTGACCCGGTAGGAGACGGAGGAGTGACTGTTTCTCGGTAAAGATCGGGAGGTTCTGCATCCGAATAAGATATAGATTTTCGACGCGTACGCGGAAAGAATCCCAATGCTCTCCGAGGAACACGGCCAATTTGCACTGGTCCAGGAAACCCATCCATGTGTACCCACGATTCATGCTTCCAAGCATGATTGCCATCGGCCCCAGGCGCGGTTGCGGGCGTATCCTGTTCAGCTGAGGTATCATCAGCCGTGGGGGCTATCGAGCTGTCCCTGGGATCTTCGTCATTGTCGCTCAAAAGATCAACAGGCGCTCTGGGAACAGGCCGGCCTTTCACAGAGCACGCATCGACTGGTAAGAGAACAGTGTTTCTGCTCTGAATGTTGTCGTTGGGCCAGAAACCGTTCGCCTTCCGAAACACTGCAGGGTGGCAGCCATACCTGATCGTCACGCCGGTGATGGTGTCTGTGGGTTGCACTTTGTGGATATAGGCCAGAGCGTCTTCATCATGCTCCGGCTCGAACGCTTGATATGAGATGTCGCCAGAGTCGCGTCTTTTGTGAGGGAGCGTACGGCTTGCGATCGGGTCACTATCAGCGAGAAGCAGCGCTTCTCTCTTTTTGGCCTGGACCAAAGCCTGTCGCTCCTCCTTTGTCCCGGTTCCGAACTGCGGAGCGGTCGGTGCCGATGGACCCCAGGTCGATCTGGGGGCACTCTTGATATATACGTCAGACCGAGATGGTTTCCTCCGCGTGTGTGTCTTTGTCACATTATTCGAAGTGGCTTGCCCGGCATCACTCCCGAGTACTGAAGACGCCAGGTTTTGAAGAGAGGACCACGAGGAGTCCAGAAAGTCCGCAGCACCTCCCGACGACGAGGCCTTTGATGACCCACTCCAAGGAAACGATGTTGGCCCACTGCGAGCACCACGATTGATCGATTCGGTCGCGCGTGATAGGTGCTTGATTGGAAGTGGTGACGCTCCGCGGGATGACAATGGCGAGGGAGTCGCTCCGCGGGACCGAGTCGTTCCACCCTCGGAGGGCGCAAGAGTCGTTGACAAGCCCGAGGAAAAGGGCTGGGCATCGTCCTGGTAGGAGTAGTTCGTAACAGGATTGCTGTCGTCTTCGTCGTCCATGAATGAAACTAAGCGGCGAGGACGCGATCGAACCGTAGAGGTTGAAGTTGTGCTTGCGCTGAGTGTGTTGGAGCTTGGGGAAGCATTGACACAGCTGTTTTGAGAACTCATTCCTGTGAGTTCAGCAAATGGGTTTAAAGATGCAAAATAAAAGCCCCCTTAGAAGTGTGTACCGCCAAGGCACCAGTTGCCATCAGAGTTGATCTAGGAGAAACCCATTCGTCATCCACCCCCGGACTCGCATTCGTGGCCTTTTGACTAGGATCACGACAGGATACGTTCGATCATATATTCAGAATATAAAGCAAAGAGTTCCAACAACAAACAAAACCTTGGGAAGGTATGGAAAATAAGAGAGTGAGGTGAGGGAGGATAGGCGATAGGAGGCTAAGGAGGTGTGACGATAACGACCCGCACCTTTTGAACGTGGAGTAAATTAAAGAGCAGGACAAATTGTCCACGAGAATTAGGATAATTAGAATAATTGAGAGAATTTAAAAGACAGGATTGGTTGCTTTTTTTTATTCGTCTTTATGGAGTATAGAGTCCGAGGAACTAGAATGCTCCTGCAATGTAGCAAGTTCTGGTGACAGGTGACTTCGCCGCTCGGCAAGCGGTACATGACGTTGCCCGGTCAAGGCCACCTATTCGTGTGTACCCCGGGTACTTTGTCGGCCCCGAGGATATCTGCCTCCACATATAAATTGCGATCAAATAGGAACAATATAAGGTCACAATTAGAGAGTAATTAGAGAGAAAGATTTGTATTAGATTGTTGTATCCGAACCCATTGTACATATGACATTCGAAATTCTATCAACAAGCTGGCCATACTAGAACAAAAGATCCTTAAATCAAAGACAAGATAGCCATTCACTAATCCAGAGTCTGGCATGTCCAGTAGATTATGCCAAGTCTTCGCGCTGCGGGACAAGGGGGAGAATAAATATCAACAAGGTGACCGAAAGTATCTCACATTTACTCTGGCGGCTCAGCCATCACAGAGTGTCGAGTCTCGGCTTCTGATGTGGCTTCAGACGCAGTACTCCAGTCTCCATCTTCCTTCTCGGAGACTTTGTCGGCTGGGGTGGATAATGGAGCAGGCTGAGGAATGACCTTGACACCACCGGCGCGAGAGAAGAAATCTTCCGTGCGAAGACCACGAACTTCTTGGGGATCCATTGCATCCATTTGCATTCCGCTGGCCTTTTTTGCTCGAATAAGCTCTCGTACAGGAACCATCGCCGCGTCTCGGCATGCTTCCTTGATATCGCTACCAGACATACCAGCCATAGTCTTGACAAGATAGTGCAGGTCGAAATTATCGCGATCAACTTTCGTGTCTTTGAGAATCAGGCTGAGAATGCGAAGGCGCTGGGCAATTGGAGGAAGGGTCACTGGGAACTTCTTGGGCATTCTTCGGAGAATGGCCTCATCAATGTCTTGAATGCGGTTGGTTGCTCCTAGGACAACAATCCGCTGGGGCTCTCCTGTCGAATTTGCCGATGTAAGACCATCCCAGTGGGTCATGAACTCTGCCTTCACCATACCACTTGCTTCATGCTCACCACTTCGCCGGGTTCCAAGAACAGCATCAATCTCATCAATGAAGACGATCGCAGGTTGTAATTTGCGCGCAAGTGAGAACACTGCATTGACCAATTTATTGGAGTCGCCGTACCACTTCTCTGTCAACGTTGAAATGTGCAAGTTGATGAAGCATGCTCCACTCTCTGATGCTAGAGCTTTGGCAAGCATGGTCTTTCCGCAGCCAGGCGGACCATATAAGAGAACCCCAGAAGGCGCGGTCAACAAGGACGACGTGGAAGCGTAGAGATGAGGCATTGTCAGGGGGTAAATGACTGATTCCTTCAATTCCTCGATGATTTCATCAAGTCCGCCGATATCTTCAAATGACACTGGGATATCCTCTGGCGCAACAACATCCATCGCAATCGCTTGTTCGTATTGGTTCAAGGTAAGCTCTTTCTTTCGTTGCCCTTTCTCCCGTTTGGCACCTTTCCGCGGTGTGTCATCATCCGATTCATTCCCGCCTTCCAATCGGCGTATGATGGCGGCGGACTTCTGTCGTTGTTCCTCCTTCTTCTGGCTCTCTGGGTCGAAATCAAGGCGTGATAGAAGGTAGCGAATGAGGAAATATGCGGACGCAGACTATAATAGTATTAGAAGCATTCGGTCCTATCTGAAACAGGAACGGTCTCACAGTGCCTGCAACCATCACCATTTCTTGGAAGAACTGCTGCCATCTTCGGCCACCGGCTGAAGCCATGGCGATAAGGGAATGATTAGATAGAGTGCGATGATGGCGTAAACAAGAATCTCTAAGTAAAAAAATTAAAAAAATTAAAGATGAACAGAAGTGAATTGAAGTTCACCAGGATCAAGACAAGACAACCGAGTCGCTGAAGATCATTCGGGCAGCTTGTGGCGCGGGACTCGGGGGGATGCCAGTCACATGTCGTAAGGCGGAGAAGGCGGTGTTCGGGGTGCCCAGGTGTTGTTGTCGCGTCCCGCGAGTATGCAATTGTCATCAAACAATTATACTTAGGTACACCTGCACAATGCCCAAACGGAAAGCTCCTCCCAAACTTTCTGGTCTATTGGGCTCAGATGATGAAGACATCATGCAAATTGAAGCGACAGGAACACAAGAAACTCACGAGCCTCCCGCCAAAAAACGGAGAGGCAGACCGCGTACCTCAAACGAGAATGTGACCGAGACTAAACCTACCAAACCTACTACTCGAACAAGAAAGCAGCAAGCAGCTGTAGCCGCAGCTGAGCCGGAACCCCCTGCAAACAAAAAGCCCGCCCGCCGAGGACGACCTAGAGGAAACAGCCGTGCAGCGCAAGACGTTGAAACATCCGCACAGGCAACCGAGATGGAGGATATGGTATCAGAACAGGAGGATGCAGACAACCAGGAGAATGAAGACCCGTTTGTCCCAAGGAACACAAAGAAGCAGCCGCCCAAGGCCGCAAAGGCTGCCCCAACACGCAGTCGAGGACGACCTCGTGCAGTCAGCACACAACCCCACACAGATGGAGAATTTCAGTTTACCCCAAGTGGTTCTCGACACGTTAGTTTTCAGGATCCCCACGCAGAACAAGCCGAAACAAGCCCTCTTGCTCGTGCAGCGAGCCTGGGAGGAAAGGAACCTGAAGTTAAAGAATCTCAACAGAACGAGCAACCCGCAGCGGAGGTTGTAGATAATATCATTCACGAGGAACCGGCTTATCATCGCAAATCGATGTCCCCCGTGAAGAACGCTCGCTCTCGGCTATCCATGTTACGCAACTCGCAAGATCCTTCTCCTCGTAAACGCAAGCTTGGAGGCACCGACTTCGAGCAGGGTGGAGACCCAGAGCTGAGACGCAGGCTGGGTGAACTGACCAAAAAGCATGATGCCTTGGAGAGTAAATATCGCAATCTACGGGAGATTGGGATTGTCGAAGCCAACACCAACATGGAGAAACTGCGAAAACAAAGCGAGACTGTTACTAAAGGTATGCTCTTCTGTTGTATTATAGCCGATAGGGTATATGAATTGATACATCCTCAGCATCAAATGAATTGGTCGCTTCGCTCAAGGCCGAAATCGATACTCAGCGAAAGCTAGGACTGCAAAGCCGCGGACTCCAGAAGCAACTCAAAGACCGTGATGATGAATTGGCTCGACTCAAATCTACCGCTGACGAGGCCCAGGAACAGCTTGCATCTGCCCAGTCTGAAGTCAAAGCCTTGCAGACCAAGCTCGCTGCGGCGCGGAACACAGCTGCCAGTCTCGAGGGGGCAGCAAAGGTCCCTGGCAGTGCCATCAAGGGTGGCGCCGCCAACCGGGCTAATGCAGCTGCAACCGCCGAAGCGGCGCAGGCTTCCCAGCTCGCCCAATTAAAAGAAGATTTATACAGCGATTTAACAGGATTGATTGTTCGTGATGTCAAGAACAGAGAGTCGGATTACCTATACGATTGTATCCAGACTGGAATCAACGGAAGTAAGTTGCTCGATTTCCTCGTGATTGAGGGCATTTTTCTGACCTCCTTGCAGCCCTTCATTTCCATCTTGTTGTGCCAAAGGCCTCGGCTGATTATGACAAAACTGAGTTCCAATACCTGCCTCACTTGGACCCTAATCGTGATCGCGACCTGGTCAACTTGCTGCCAGACTTTTTGACCGTGGACATCACCTTCGTCCGCGGACAAGCAGCCAAGTTTTATACGCGAGTCATTGATGCCCTCACAAAGCGGCGGTCTCTTCCAGCGCAATAGCGTCGCTGATGCTAAATATCAGTCTTTTGTGTGGTTTTTTTTTTGTTTTTTTAGAGTCTGTTCATTTTCATGGAGTTTGTTCGGGACTAGGGATGTCATGTTGTTTCAATAATCAATAACATCTATGTTAACAATTCCACCTTCCAAGGTCGTTAATCAATCCCTTGTATCATTGTATGCCTACGTTGTACGTAGGAAACGTCAGCCAGTGGGCCCTTCGTGAAACATGCTTCGCAAGGTCCTCTAACAAATTGCAAGGCTCAAGTTCTCGCCTCGTTGCCACTCGTATTCTCGAGAGCATCATTTTATAGGCTACTACTACTAGATTAACACTCGGGTTTGAGATGTTCATCGGCGAAATACCATCTTACTATGATATGTCCTTTATCTCCGAGCCTCTCAGAGGGATAAACCCCCACACCTACTATATAAGCACTACATATCTTTCTACATCTTTATATTCGATAGCTTCACGTCAATGTGCATTTTTCAGCTTGATAAATACAGCACAAAGCTTCGATCGGGAATTAAGTGCCAATTGGAAAATACTACTATTTGAGATGCAGAGTAAACAAAAGGAGGCCTGTGATTGGCTCTCACCGCCAAGTTCCCCAATGCGTCTCAAAAGTTGACGGGGTTGACGTGTTGTCTCTTTGACCTTCATATCTCCTTTTTTTTGCGAATTTTCCTACCTTTTCTTGTGGCAGTGGACCACTTCCATTCTTTTAACACTTGAGTATCTAGGAGACATAGATCATGGCGCGTCTCGGCCGTGTTGGGTTTCTTGCCCTCGCCGTGGTCTTCCACTTGATCTATAC